ATGAAATTAATGATAAATCTTCAAAGTTAATATCAGTACATCAATAGATGTCGCTGTTGTAAAATTGTTAGTCGATAATCATGATCCTCAACAGATGGCGTTAGAAGTAGTTTGTTACCACACAATGAATCTGCAAATTTTTATCACATTTCTTTTAATTTTTCGTTTTTCATTTCGTCTTCAATTTTTTTTTTTTATAGTGCAAACCACCCATATAAGAGCGCCGAACACTTTTTATTGCAGACAAAATCAAGTCCTATGTGTCACTTGCACTTGGAATTTTTTGTACCGTCACGTTGTCAATTTAAAGTCCTTTGTTTACACAAATTACGTTGTTTTACACTACACAATCAAGCACTCCGTGGTCTATGCACCTAAATGCTAGAAACTAACACTTTGTTTTCATTTCACTGTTCTTATTTCCTACTTTTATAATTTAAAATATACGCAGCACTCCGCATCCGATGTTTCTACTAGCGCGCCACCTAGCGTAATACGTAATTCTTGTATTATTGGTAGTTAAATATTAATTCAAATATAAAACATTACTTTTTTATGAAAATATAACAACGAAAAATATTGTATTACAAATATTTAGAATACCCTTTTGTTGGCATTTGTACTGTCCGCTATTTTTATATGTTAATATAATTTCCTAAAAAAAATGGCTAAACGAACGTTCGCTGGAACAACTACTAATATAATAAAATAGAATGAACAATTTAAATGGCCATTTCCCACTATGTGGGAACATTCCCGGGAATGCCGGAATATTCCCTGGAACTTTTCCATTGGAAATATTTCCGGGAAAGGGAATTTGGGAACGGCGCATCACTATTCCTAAGGTTCGGTCAGAATGTAACTTAAAGTGTCAGTACTTAACTACACTCAAGTGAGCGTGTACTCACACCTTTGACTAAACTATCGCACAAAAGTTTAGTCTTATTTTGGTTCCTATGAGCATATATGGAGCACACTACTCGATTTTTAGTTGTGCAACTAATCCATCGCACAACTGTTGTTCGATAGTTTGGTCAAAGGTGTGCCCCTCAAATTGGTTACAAAGTATCTCCCAAGTGACGTCATCGTATGGCGCGGTGTCAGGAGCGGAGACAGTCTGCTGCAGCTCCCCGCGCATGCTGTACTGCACCCAGGAGTGAGGGCCGAAGATGAACATGTGGTGGTTCAGCACAAACACACCGCGAACAGTTTCACCTACAAGATAGTGGAAAAGACGTACAAGAAGAACATTGCAGAGTCACTATAGTGATGTCAACATATATTAGACTAGCTGTTGCTCGTTACTTCGCCCGTGTTAAATTAAGAAAAAATATATAGTTACTTACAAATAAATTACTTTTGTAATGGTGAAAGAAATTTAAAAAAAGGCCCAGTAAAAATTTTGGATAAAACCCTAATGAGGGAAAGAGACCATTAGTTGCTACAAACATCAAGAAAGAAAGGTTGCCAAGGTTTGTAACGTCATGTCATTTTGACATTTGCTGTTGATATTATAATTTGACAAATGTAAACAATAAAATAAAATTTTCATAATTTATACGGATAAAGCCGCACGGAAACAGCTAGTGTAATTTATATAGACAATTTCATCATACCTTCATCTAAAGGATTTTCGATGGTAACGTATTCGCTTGTCAGCATATTCAAGAGCATTGACTGAAATTATTAAGAAATATAATATTACTAGTTGTTGCTCGCAACTTCGTTCGCGTGGCATTCCAAAAATAGCAAAAAAAACTATGTTATTCACTGATAAAGTAGTTTTTTAAATATGTAAAAAATCGAAATCGGTCCGGTAGTTTTTGAGTTATTTCAATACATACAAAAATACAAACCTTTCATCTTCATAACATTAGTATAAATATTAAACATCAAATGACCAAGATTTCTTAGCGAGTCAACTCACCACAGAATTATTAGTCGACGCAGCAGCCCATTTGTTATCCGGCGATAATTCCAAGTTTTGCAGAATTCCTTCCAATTGTGGACACAAATCGCGAGCCAAGTCCGAAGTAGACAAATCCCAGGAGATAACGCGGCTGGATATCGACACCACGTAGCGTTTGTCGGAGCTCAGACGAAACGCGAATACTGCGAATTGGTGACCTTCTAACGAGTACTGAAAAACAAGAACACACACTATGAAATGTAGATTTTAGTGACAATTTCGTTGAACATATTGTTTTATGCTTTAAAGCGTGTGTACACCGTTGACTAAACTCTCGCACAACTGTTGTGCGATTGTCGATTGTTTCGCAGTCAACTGTTTAGTTGTAAAACTAAAGAATGGTATAACCTTCATATTAGCACACAATTCAAGGCTATTTAAGAGTTTAAAAGTCACTTAAGACATGCTTTAGGCTATATTTCACGCGATTAAACTTAGGGGGTAAATAAATTGGAAAAAAAACCTTCATGTGAGAAAGAGATCATAAACTACAAGCTGCCAACATTAAGGAAGCAACATTATGGTAACTGTAATTTTGACATTTGCAAACTTGACAGTAAACAATAAAATAAAGTTTTTATAATTTCATGCGGATAAAGCCGCACGGGAACATCTAGTAGTCTATAAGGGTCTAGTTTACAATATAAAAGATAGTTATCTAGAAAATTACCTTCAATGGTCCTCCAGGTGTATGAAGACAGTGATGTGAAGGGAGCAACGCGCAGTGATTCTTCCCCACATCATGACACTGCTGCAGAAGAGACGCTACTGCTGGATTTTGAGAAGCTTCTGGAAGGAGTCTGCCCACCAGCTGCGGTGCCAGCATGTCAGGATATGCTCCCAGGATTGCTCCACCCAAACGGAGAGCGTCCGCTACTAACATTAGTTCCCTGGAATTGTTATAACGAAGTTTGATTAGAATAACATTTCTAGCACCTGTTCACTGATCAGAAGTGTTTTAAAATTTACATGTTGCCTTAACGATCGTCAATCTTTGAAGAAGATAGCTCTTTAAGAAGAACATGCCTTGCACACTTTTCATCTTCAGCTTTTGCCCGCGACTTCACCCGCGTGGAATTAAAAAAAAAACAAAAGCAAGTAGCCTATGTGTTCTTCCAGATTATCATCCACCTCTATTCCAAATTTCATCGATATCTGTTGAGCCGTTTAGGGCACAAACTGTAAAAAATGTCCATCCATCTAATCTTTCACAACGTGTATTATATTAACATGGTTAGGATTATTTCACCATCTATTTAAGAGTTTGTCGTTATTGTTATCACAAAGGACATAGGTTTTATAACCAGGGTTCATCTAAAATAAGGCATATATCTTACCTTACAGCGTCTTTGCTGACATGAAGTTTAGCATCTTCGAAATCCGCGAGAACTGCTTGTAGAGGACAGCAGTTTAGCTTGGCGTGTAGCCATTCGTAGTTGAACAGAACTTCAGCGTAGAGATCTGTGAACCGCTTAGACCGCACTAAATGGAAGGGGAGTTCACCAAACTGGAATAGGAAAGAAGTTAGATGCTGCAGCGAATATCAAATATCAGAGACAATGAGAGCGACGGTGTCTCAGGGGTGGAACTTGACTTGTAATCTACAGGTCTATGGTTCTAATCCCGCTGTACCAATGTGATTTTCGATATCATATGTACATAATTTACCCGACATTCATACGGTGAAGGAAAACATCGTGATGCACATATCGGCGAAGAAATTCAAAGATATGTGTGAAGTCAATCAACCCGCAGTACTGGTTGACTAAGGCCTAGTCATCCCTTACTTAGTATAGGCTCTGAGATTCTTAGTGGGGACGTATAGTGAGCTAGTGATGAGATGCTTAATTGTGATTTATTAGAAGTCTACACTAAGGGACTGTCATGACTACGCTTAGTGTTGTATTCATTGAACCATATAAGACACAGTAAAAACATTTTTACTCCAATCATTTAGGAAGTATGTAATGCTTGTTCTGAATAATTAAACTGTACAGCATGTTCAAGTTTTAAATAATGCCCATATACAGTAAGTAGCAGAAATGTGGTTCTAATTTTAATCGCTAATGTTTATGGAACAAGAATTAATTAAAGATTATTCAGATTTCTGTTGTGTTAGCGAATAATCAAGGTAATAATCAGCGATATCTCCTTTAATGTTGTATTGCTACCGATTTTCAATGTCAATTGGTTAGCTGTTTATAAGTCTACCTTTTGTTTGTCTGTTTTCTTTTTGGCTGACTTCCCTAAAGAAGGAGGTACTCAATTCGTCTGTATGTTATTTTTTCTGTGTGTTACGGCATAACTTCGCCGCTAGTGGACCGATTTCTATAATTCTTTTTTATGCGAAAGGTAATACTTGCAGGTGGGTCCCATTTCTTTGTTTGATTTTTTATATCAATCGTGGGTTGATTTTGATTATTTTGTTATTCGTCATTTGAATTATTCATAAATTTCAACATTAAAGCCATATTTTCAGTTTACCTTCCTCAAATTGTATCGCTTCGAAGAACCGTCTGCTGAAGTAAAGACCAAGGGCTGCAGAGGAACCTTTCTATCAGCCACCCCCTCCTTGTCAGCCAAGTTGAACCTGTGTCGCTGGATTTCAGTGTATTTGAAGGGTTTCGGTATACCACCGCCCCAAATACCTGCAAGAAATTAGCCGAAGCTTAGCTATCGGAGATTTTGCAAGAAATGTCTCAATTTTAACCAAAAATTATACAAATAACTAATTTCTATTGTTTTCTTACTAATATTAAAATGCGAACGTTTAGATGGATGGATGTTTGTTAGTAGTTTGTAGCCTTAACGGCTAAACGGATGACGATGAAATTTGGTATAGATGTAGAGGATAGTCTGGAAGAACACATAAGCTACTCACTTTTGATTTTTTTATTTCCACGCGGACGGAGTCGCGGACGAAAGCTAGTTAGCTGTAATTGCTGGGTCGCTTAAGTTATCACTTATTTTATCATTACCTAGTGATTAGCTTCAACTATGTTTCAAGGGAAATCTCAAGTTACATAGTTTGGAAACGTATATCATGAAGTTATCGAAACAAAAACACTATCGAATGATTAAAAGTAGCTGGAAAACCATAAACAACTTATACTTTATTAAATAAGCATGGGTTTGTATTTCAGTATATTTAGACAGGTCTATTGCTCTATTCAAAGACATGAAATGGTACAAATTGCACAAGCATTAATAAAAAACTCACCTAAATAATAATCAGCAATCATAGAATGGAAATACATCGCCATGTTCATGTTTTTAAAATACCTCTCTCTAGCAGTATCCCTGAACTGTCTGTGATACCAATTCATAACAGAAACACCATCTGCTTCCCTCTCAGATAAGTAATTAGGAAGATCGTTGCGGATTCTGTAAAAACAATTGTAAATCAACTGAAAGGTATAAAAAAAGAATTCCTATCTTGGAGTAGTGTAAAAAGACCGTGAAATATGAAATATGTAAAAGGACAGAAGTGTGTTTTTTATTAAAAATCCTGCTTCCGAAGGACCAAACCTCAAATATTGACTCAATACAATAAAAAGATAAAGCGAAGAAAAATGTGTAAGAAGGGTTTGAATTCAGGTATGAGGGCTGATAGTAATATGGAAGAGTAGAACGTATATAAAAGCGCAGGAAGTTATTCCTTTGGTATCATTACCTTGTCCACAATAATGGAGGTATCCTTCTAACTGGTGGTAAGTGGTATTGGTACACATCATCAAGAACCTTGTCATCCAATGAGATGAGGTCTTCTAACTCAGTCTCAGAAAGACCACTTCTAGCTGCAGTGATATATGCTAATGCATGGAATACTAACAGACGACCGTGCTGAAACACAAACAATAACATCACAATGTACAAAAATATACCCTCTTTTGTTCCTAAAATCAGTTAGATAAGTATATTTTGGATAGATGTTTCAAAAGTATATAACTTTAAACTGTCGTGGTTTTTACAAATATAATGTTCGTAAGACACAAGTGCCTGGAATCCAGTAATCCGCTATTACTACAAAACTAGACAGCAGCCAATTTCAAGTAAGCGTACAAGTGTGGACACCGTGGGTATAGTTTGTCGACAGAAAATAGCTAGTGTGGACTTTAGTGAAAACGAAGACAATACTAGTAGTAATCGCCGTATCAGGAAAAAAGTAGACCGATATGGCTTTGTGTAACTTTTTTTTCACACTACCGCATCATTACAGTGAGCCCGTGAACATGGCGCATGTAACTGTGCCGAAATATCGGGAGCTAAAACAATTCAATCGTGATAAGAAACCCGTATCTTACGAACTTTATGTTTCAAAAGTAGCCAGAATTACAAAGCAACTCATTAGACTAAATTGTCGCACAACTGTTTAGTCTCGCTTTGATTCCTATGAGTGTATATAGAGCACACTACTCGATTTTTAGTTGTGCAACTAAACAGTTGACTGCGAAACAATCGACAATCGCACAACAGTTGTGCGATAGTTTTAATAATACGCCACTGGCAATAATTGATGCAATCTTTGTATTGCATAATTAAATGGTTAATTTAGTATCTACTAAAATTACCTGCTTCTCAATTCGTTCAAATAGCATCATGATAGAATCCATAACTGTAGAAGCGAGATGAGTGTCCTGAGGTTTGGTATAGCTTCGCCATCTGCAGACCTACAAATGTTACCTAAATATATTCCTTATCAAGAAGATCATAAGGACTTAAATAGCTAATATTTTAGGACTTATATTCATACCTCAGCAAACACCAATTTTACGAATATAGGCAGAGAACATTGACCAATCGCGTTGGATACAAGTCGCCATTGGTAGTTGGTTAAGTCTCTGGCTGCTGATGCCATCCATAATCTAAGGGAATATCACAAACTAGAAGTAAACACATATTTAAAAAATAATGCAAAATCTAGAAAGAACGCGATACATTGAGTTTTTGGCCAGTGTCGTATAGTTTTTTTTAAATTAGCAGATGAAAGTTGAGAAGCAAAAAGTTAGCATTATGGGCATGTTATGCGACGAGAAGATGGGGAAATAAAGCAAAAAAGCAGATTGAATTTGGATGGCTACAAAGAAGATCAAAGAAAGTGTAGGCTGTGTTAAAGAGGATATACTTAAGGGAGTGAATTCAGAGACGGCTGATAGAGTATGGACGCAGCACTGTGCCGACCCCTTAGGGACAATTTCAAGTTAATGTATGTGGACATAGTAACTTACTTAAGAACTTGCATTGCAAGATCTTCTCCCAGAGCTTTGACTTCTAAGAAATTGTCTTCAGAATCTATCATACGTCGCAGCACATCATATTCTTTTGATACTTCTGGATTAGCTTCTTCGCAAGCGCATGTTACAATGATCTGTAATTTATATTAAAAGGTGAAAGGGCCACCAAAAATAACTAAAATAGCAAAGCGACGGTTCCCCCTAAACAATCGCATTTTCGAGTTGTCGCCATCATTTCATCAACAGAAGATAAAATTTCCCCTATCTATATTTCCCCTACTTCTAAATCCCCTTCAAAATCCCTTACGCTTCACGGTCTTTCCATGTAATAAAGAGGTGGAAAGGAGAAGAGAATTTAAATTAGGACTCCATCACACAATAGCAAAAAATCGTTTTTGTTTTGTTTATCGAAAACTTTACTTGCAACATTTACATCTTTATGCTCAATATCAACTTCCATAGCAGTTGTATGAATTCTATTGTCATCTCTTTCATTACAATTAAAAAAACAGAGACAACAATACGTCAATGTGTCACTGGAATCGAAACCTAATTACCTTGCAATGAGGTGGTAATCTCGTTGGCAGCCAGGATACTTTATTATTCTCTGTGCCTATCCCTGTTAGTTGGTCTACTGAGTCGAGGAACAATAGTAATGGTTGCTGCTGGGAAGCCATCGTTAGGAGCTGCTTAAAATGAGCCGTCAGCGGCACTAAATCATCCGGAATACTCTCAAATGGTAATGCGAAATTGTATGAAATCTGTGGTAAAAAAAATCATAGTTATCTTCTGCTGAGATGTTCCCGTGTCCCCACATGAAATTATAAAACTTTATTTGATTGTTTACATTCGTAAAACTTTCAATTAAAAATGTCTAAACATAAATGACGACGGCCTTTGACATTAGATAACAATTATCGTAACCATGGCAACACCTTGCATCCTAGATGTTAGCTTGTAGTTTTTGGTTTCTTTCCCACATGGTTTCCAATTTAATTACCCCCAAAGTGTAATAGCTTGAAAATATATAGACTAAAGCGTCTTATACGTGTAAGACTTTTTAAGAAAAAAAAATCAAAAATATACTGTGTTTTCCGACATCCTACATAACTCAGTAGTGTGTGTTTACGCTTAATAATATAAATAGAAAAAGAAGAAAGAAAAAAGAGAAGAAGATAGAACAGATAGATAAGTTGTTAATATTTCTTGTGGAATCAGTTTTAATAATCGTGTTGTTTTAATGTTATAGGTGTTTGTTACTAATTTATATTTACCTGTTGACAAATCGATATTAAAGTCGGTGTAAGAGCGCTGGAGTCAGGAGTAGTTCCGAGGAACCTGATCACATTGGTTGGTCGAACTTCAGCGAACCAAGTGGCCAACGACATCGCTGAACTCTTCGCTAGAAGACTGGTTTTTCCACAACCACCTAGAAATTTAAATACCTTGATTATTGGTATGTACCAACAGATGTCCGTAAGGTGAAATGCGACACATTTGAAATACTATGTGATTCTTTTTTCTTTAATTTTATTAATACTAGCTTTCGGTCGCGACTCCGTTCGCATGGAATTAGAAAAATAAAAGTAGCTCTATGTTCTATCTTCTTCTCTTTTTTCTTTCTTCTTTTTCTATTTATATTATTAAGCGTAAACACACACTACTGAGTTATGTAGGATGTCGGAAAACACAGTATATTTTTTATTTTTTTTTTTCTTAAAAAGCCCTACACTTATGAAACTCTTTAGTCTATATATTTTTAAGTTTTTCACTTAGATGTAGAGGGTAGTCTGGAAGAACACATAGGCTATAATATATATAACTATGTGTTCTTCCAGACTACCCTCTACATCTATGCTTTTTATCAAGATCCGTCCGAAAAGTTAGGCTATAAACTCTAACAAGCATAAATCCGTGCAAATTTTCGCATTTATCATATCAGTAAGAAGTAAGATTGAATTGAATTGCATCTTAAGAGTAATTTGAAAGTGTCCTGGTAAAAATTGACAGGACTAAATAATCTGATTCTTGTTAATGTAGATTGTGTATTTAGAGGTTCATCATCATCATCATCACCAGCTCACTATACGTCCCCACCGAGGGGCTCGGAGCCTACCCTAATATGGGGTGACTAGGCCATAGTCAACCACGCTGGCCAAGTGCGGGTTGGTTGACTTCACACATATCTTTGAATTTCTTCGCCGATATGTGCAGGCATCACGATGTTTTCCTTCACCGTAAGAACGTCGGGTAAATTATGTACATATGAAAATTCGAAAAATCGAAAATCACATTGGTACATGGCGGCGGGATTCGAACCCAAGACCTGTAGATTACAAGTCAAGTGTTCAAACCACTGAGCCACCGACGCTCCATAATCTAATTTAGAGGTTATTCATAGTTATTAAGATTATTATAGTACGAGCTGTTGCTCGCGACTTTGTTAGCGTGGAATTAAAAAAAAAATTAAAAGTTGTTCTTCTTTCTTAACCCTACAGCCCTTTGTAGGCCTTGGCTTGATCAAGCAATTTGTTTTACTTCGGTTTATTAGTGGCTATCTAAATCTATACTACAATAAAGCGTAATCACACACTTCTTTGTTGCCTAAGATGTCAGCAATTACAGCATATTTTTGAATAATTATCTTTTAATAAAAAGCCCTACACTTAGGTCACGCTTTAGGCTATATATTTTCACGCCATTAAACTTAGGAGGTAAATATTTTGGATAAAAACCCTAATGTGGTAAAGGGGCCATACGATACGAGCTGCCAACATCAAGAAGCAAGATTGCTATAGTAAGGTAATTGGTATTTTGACATTTGCAATTGAGAATTTGATAAATGTATACAATAAAATAAAGTTTTTAATTTCATGCAAATGAAGCCGCACGGGAACAGCTAGTTTCAAATTTTTAAAATCAACCCAGTAGTTTTTGAGTTATTTCGATACATACAAAATTACAAATCTTTTTTACAATATTAGTATAGATTACCTTCTCCATAAAGCACTAGAGGTTTATCAGAGCTGTTCTTCATGTAGTTCTCGATGAAGAGCAGATCATCTTCTCGACCATGGAAGACCTTCACGGAGTTGTTGCAAGCGTGGAGATGCTGTAAGATCTCAGTCACTATCTGACCCTGGGCACTGCTGTCTTCTTTGCGCATTGCCCTGTAAATATTGTTAAAAGAAATAGGAATTTCACTTGATTCAATAGTGTTACATTGACATAAGTTTTAACGGAGTAAACTCGAGTTATGTAGTTCGGAAACGTATTGAAGTTGTCGAAGCAAAAACGCTAACGAATAGTTAAATATAGTTGGGGAACTAGCCATTATTGATGTTATAATTCGTAATATCTTATCGTTCTTAGTACTGTTTAGCAATTGGGGTTAATAATTAAAATATCGGTTGTTTTGACCATCAAATTATTATATTTTGACTAGCTTTCGTCCGAGACTACGTCCGTGTGGAATTAAAAAACAAAAGTGAGGAGCCCATATGTTCTTCCGGACTATACTGTACATAGCCAAATGTAATTTTTCTTTATAACATAAGATAGCAAACGAACAAGCGGTCACCTGAATCCACCGAAATGGAAAGTGACCGCTGCCCATAAACATCCGCAATCATTGACTATCTACCCTTCATTGACGAAGGAGGAGACGCACATAAAGAGGACATTTCCTACGCGTCTCCTCCACCGTCAAATCCATTAATTAAGATCTGTTCAGCAGTTTAGGCTACAGACTCTAACATCCATCTGAACTTTCGTATTTATAATATTACCTGTCGACTAGTTTAATTATGTTCTTGTAGAAGTGAGCGATGAAGTGGTTCAGATATTCTCCATGTGTCTCAGTCTCCAGACCTTCACGGCCTATCCATTCAACGGTATATCTGAAAATATATTGCCTATTGAAGATCCTTTAAAATCATTGATAATTTTAGAAGAGCTTAGCAAAAGCATTACAATAGAGTATATAAGAGGAAGTTTGAGAGTATCCCTAGTGGTAGAGAAATTAAGAAGTGAAAGGTTAGCATGGTATGGGAATCCCATGTAACAAGAAGGACGTTAGTTATGAGTGTACCTCGGCAGAGGTAGACGTAGAAAGAGATGGACTGTGTGAAAGGTGACATTATCAAGAAGGGAGTGACTGAGATGACGTATGAGAGAGTTATGTGGAGGACAAAAACCCGGAGCGTCCTACGGGAGACGACCAAAAGCATTACAGGCAAAGATATCTTATAGTAAATCTTTACTAATATGTTTCCTATAGTGACCTGACTGTGAGTGTGTCGAAGCATCCCTAATACTTACTTTTGTATGTTAGTTGTTTCAATTTTTTCTGGTAATCTAACATCTCTGAGATCAGCAAGTAATTTAGAAGCCTCCGCGTCCAAGCTTCTATTCAGGATATCAACATAGTTGCTTGCCTTTTTGAGATTTTGTAAGTTAATATTGTTGATGTACCGAACATAGGCTAAGCAATGATTTTTAGTGTTTTTCACGTTTAATATTCCGTTGATTACTTCACGTTCAGTTACTGAAAATATAAATATTAACTAGTTATTGCTCGCGTCTTCGTACGCTAAATTGTAATAAATATAGCCTATGTTAGTGAAAAGTTTTGGTGAGAGAATTTTTGAAATTGCCCCAGTAGTTTTTTTAAAGATGAATACATAAAAAAATATAAAGTTTACATCTTTATCAATACTAATATAAAGAGGAAAGATTTCTATTTTTGTATGTACTGAAATAACCAACAACTACTGGTCCGATTATAAAAATTCTTTCACCATTAAAAAGCTACGTTATCAGTTAACAACATAGGCTGCATTTTTATTATTTTAATTTCACACGAGGTCACCAGCAACATCTAGTAATATTAGTAATATTTGTGATATTAGTTAGGGATAATATTGTATAATAATTATGTAATTTAAAAAAAATGTCAATATCATTAAATAAATAAAGACTGGTACCCAAATTCTTTGATCCCAACACGTTAGGGGTACGAGGGGGCAGCATAGGGGCGCCCAAAAAAAAGATACCTAGAAGTCATATGTATAAATATTCTGTCAACTTACCCGACATGAAGTAATTGTGCATAGTATCTTTGTCGATTTTCCCAGCATTGTAGAGCTGTTGTGATGCCTTGCGGAACAACTTCTGCATCTTGCAGAGTGTGTCCCACCAGACTGCCTGGTCTTCTGCTTGGAGCTTTGGAACTCTCTGGAACATTCAAAGAAAACATTCTATTATATCTTAACACATCACTATACTTCGATATTGGAAATAAACAGAACAAATTGTTTTGTTTTTTTAAGAAATCACTCAGCACATGTCCGATCTTCCATTATAACCATGCTAAAGATACCTATGTTACAATATCTATGTTAAAATACAAAGCTATGTTTTCACTATTTATTAGCCAGTCATTTCCTCAAAGGCCGGCAACGCTGTAGTTCAACTTATGTTGCGGATATCCATGGGCGTTGTTGACCACCTTGGTGTTCACGCCGCTTCTTTGCCCAATTTATTATATAAAAAAATCAAGGCTATATCAAAAATCTGTAATTTTAAAAGCAAAGATATTCGAGAAATATATACTCGTAGACTAGTCTCAGTGCTACCAGAGGACCAAATATAGTCCCTTTATCTGATGAGAGAAGGATGGGAAGGGATGGATTTGACGCTAGAGGAGACGCATAGGGAGGGGAAATATCCTTCATGTGTTCCACTGTCTGTTAAGGATTGGCAACGCATACACTATTATAAATGTTTATGGGCAGTTGCCAATTTGGCGGATTGAGATGGCCGCTTGCTCTTTTGCCACCTTTGGATATAAAAAAATAAACAACATATTTTCATCTTTCATTCCTCTAACTTACCTTGTTATTAAAATTGACCAGTATAGATGAAATTGGTTGCAGTACTGACACTGGTGGTACTGCGTTTGAATCCTTCTTGTACCAAGTATCCAGCAGGATAACATCAACTCCGCCGGCCGCCAATTCATCTCTCAGCATTTGGAGTTCCGAGGACAGCACGTAAGTTGGTATGGGCCTGAAGGTATACAATTATTGCTTTTTAAATGTGACATTAAAAATGAATTCTAACCTGCTAATCTGTGAGACACGTCAACCTCAGAGAAGACAGGAAATGGGTAACAGAAGAAGACTAGATTTGTTGTCTTCAGACTCATCAGACTGTGGAATTATCGACAGACGTAATTCCTTCGATTGCGTCTTCACGTAGTTCAATTTAGGTGGAATCGTGGTCAAGCGCTGGTTTATGATAAAAAATGTTCTGTGTGATCATATCGTAATCGAACGAGCTAGCTATTCTTCCAGCTATTAATAATGGGTTTCTGAACTACTTTTAACCATTCGATATCGCTTATGCTTCGATAAACTATTCGATACTCCAGAGACACGTAGGTTAACCTAACACTATCCAATCACTAGGTACATTTTACTAATCTTACTAATATTATAAATGCGAAAGTTTAGATGGATGGATGGATGTTTGTTAGAATTTTGTAGCCTAAACTGCTGAACGCATCTCGATGAAATTTGGCACAGATGTAAAGTCTGGAAGAACACATAGGCTACTTAGTTTTTTTTATTCCACGCGGACGAAGTTGCTGGCGAAAGCTAGTATAAAATAATTAGAAACTTCAGAAACACAGCATAAGATACAAATTTCCGTGAATTAATCAAACCAAAAATGAGGAAATGATTACTGCAGATCTAACTTCATAATTGTAATTACCTGTAACCATACTTCTGTCCGAGGAACACGACAAAATTGGGCCCCATAGATAACCTTTGGCAGTTCTTAATCTCACGCATGCAAAGCTCTGTGGTCATATGGTCGTCGGTGGCTTCGTCACGTACGCCCCAACGCATATCCACCACCTGCAGATGTAACGTTACTTTTTTTTATAACATAAGGTGACAAACGAGCTAGTGGTCTGAATCCATCGAAATGGAAAGCGACCGCTGCCCATAAACATCCGCAATTGCAGATGCGTTGCCTACCCTTAACTGACGGAGAAGACGCACAGAAAGAGATTTCCCCCTTCCTATGCGTCTCCACCGTCAAATCCAATTTTCCTTCCTATCCTTCCCTCTTATGGAAAGGGTGGAAATTGACTAAAATTAGGCACCACACTCATCAGACGTATTACTATAAAAAAAATAGAAAATTAAAAATTCTTTATGGATCCATAACAGTTTTGTACAGTTAGTGGGATTCTGTCTCCTGAGCTAGCAATAACTGTGTTCCAGCAAGGCCCTTCTTTTAACGTTACTATTATGCTTTACTAGTGTTTGGACAGTATAAAAGGGGTTACAAAGTTGTGCGCAAACCTGAAACTAACTGTTGTGCGATTGTCGATTGTTTCGCAGCCAATTCAACTGTTCAGTTGCATAACTAAAAGTCGAGTAACCTCCATATAAGCTTATAGGAATCAGAGCGCGACTAAACCTGCGATAGTTTAGTCAAAAATTGCACACTACTAGCAGATATTCGTATTTTGTATAATCAAGTCAATTTGTAGTCTTTCATATATATATATATATATATATATATATATATATATAATACATACGCTATTTAAACTGTAATCTACATTAATATAGCTAATATAATATACTGATATAGCATTTATAGCTGAGCGAGGAACCAATCCAGTCATCATTGCAACGCTAATTTTAAATATTTCTTTTTTTTTTCATTTCATGAGTTACGTTTCTCATTATTTCGTGTTTAATTACTTTTTTGATTCATAGATTCGTAGTGTTGACAAGGATTAAACATTTTTTTTATTTAATATTATAAAGAGGAAAGATTTAAATAACTCAGAAACTAAGGGGCCGATTTTAAAAATTCTTACACTATTAAAAAGCTACGTTATCGCTGAGTATTAGGCTTTTAATTTCACGTGGAGGAAGTCGCGAGCAATAGCTAGTTAAAAACATACTTTAATATAAGAGAGAATATTCTTTTTAAGGTTAACTGAATTATTCAATTTTTAACCCGAACTATTTTTTACAAGCATAATTTTTGCGTAAACTGTAGCAAGCCTATTCAAATTCCATTTTGTTTACACTTACAATTTTAGCTACTTACTTCTAAACACCAGTCAGCGTAAGAGCACGCCTCGTGTTGGCCGGAGTGTAAACATTTACTAAAACACCCGGCGTTACGCGCTATTTCAGTCGACGGAAACATAACCACATGCAACCGAATACCTATTTTAAATTTACTACCTATTGAATATACGTGGTATAATTTGTACCGTTTTTAATTATTGCTTGTTATATAGGGTTAAAAATAATTGAACTATTTGAATTACGAGTAACAATTAGACATTTGTGGACAAGTGAAATGAACAAAGTATGATTGTAGCAGGACTTGTAGTAAAATTCAATTGAAACGACAATTTTTTTAATGTCATCTAAAAAATCTTAAATTTTTTAATCTTTTGTTTTGTTGCACATTTTTCTACATATGTTCATAAACACAATAAATTACCACACCACTTTTTTCTTATCACATTTTTCCGTTTCGCGCCTAAATCTCTCTTTGCTTTTTTATAATCTTTTTAATTTGTCTTGTTTTGGATTGTCAGTGGCCAGTGTTAACATAAAAAATATTACCTAAATAAATTATAATTGTACAAATCTCATTCTTATAAATTACGTTACTATTTTAAATGAATATGTTTTTGTTTTTAAATTATATTGCTGCGGCTATTTTATTAGCGCCATCTAGTGACCAATATTGATTGACCAAATTATCACATTATAAATGCGTATAGATGTATGTTAGAGTTTGTAGCCTAAACTACTGAAAGGATTTTGATGAAATTTGTCATAGATGTAGAGGTTAAGTCAGAATGCTTTTGTTTATTTTAGTAGACAATAAATGGCCCTCAGAGCCTAATGTAAACGTTGAATATTTATTTTAATTAAAAGAATTCATCATAAAATGTATTATTCTATCCGTTTTCCTCGGAACTTCATCCGCCGACTTATTTTCCTAATCCGCTTTTAAATTTTATGTTTTCCGCTGACCGAATTTGTATCTTTCGTTTAAAAGATGTGGATTATATTAAATCTTACTTCTTACTAACCTTACTAATATTATAAATGCGAAAGTTTAGATGGATGTTTGTTTGTTTGTAGCCTAAACGACTGAACGGATCTCGATGAAATTTGGAAAAGACGTAGAGGATAGCCTGGAAGAACACATAGGCTCACTTTTGTTTTTTTTAATACCACGCGGACGGAGTCGCGGATGAAAGCTAGTTAATTTCATAAATATATAAAGTAGCCCGTGTCTTTGTCTACGAAAAATAATGAAAGTCGTTTAGTTTTATATTTTCTTTAACAAATTATTTACCTTTGACTTTTTTAGAAAAAAGATTATTAACTCTTAAATGCATATTGTTGCCTTTACAAACAGAAATGTAGTTTTAATTGAAACCAGGATTTTTAACTTATTTTTCCTTGAAGCTGTGAGTTAAATCCTATATTGAATTATTTATTTCATAATTAAATAAAAAAAAAATGCTTTTTAAGGGTTTTTAATAATTAAGTTAATCTAGCGTGACTGTCCCACTACTGGTACAGATAGCTTAAAAATGACGTCACTGTCAGATGTAATAAAATCCCATATTTCCGTCGCATTGTTACAGGATTGTTATCAGATATTGTACTAATTAGTGGGACAGGCCCTGAAGGTTTTTAAAAGCACTTTAAAAAAAGTCTAATACACACTAAACAATTTGATTTTACATCAAAATAATACAGAATTATTATTATAATATAGCGTACTGAAATATACAGAAAACATATCTATAAAAGTATATTTTCTTTTCACAATAATAAAAATAATCTCTCGATATTTCAAACGACTCGACTCGACTTTTTTAACGATTACTTAGAAATGTTTTCGTAGATTGATTTCAAGTAAATGTCTGTCTTCTTTAATCTATGATATAAAATACTTGGAAAGGAATTAAATAAACATTTTTTCTTTTGAAATACAAAAATACATCTATACTATTATAATAAAGGGTAAACACACACTTCTTTGTTGCCTAAGATGTCAGCAATTATAGCATAGTTTTGAAAAATATTTTTTTAATAAAAAGCTCTACACTTACGTCACGCTTTAGGCTATTATTTTCACGCCATTAAACTTAGGGGGTAAACATTTTGGATAAAAACCCTAATGTGGGACAGAGACCATAAGTTGCTGCCAACATCAAGAAAGCAAAATTGCCATAGTAAGGTAATTTGGTATTAGTAAAAAAATACGTTACGTTAGTTTTATTATAGTAACTAGCTTTCGCCCGCGACTCCTTCCGCGTGGAATAAATAAAAAATAAAAGTGTGTAGCCTATGTGTTCTTCCACACTATCCTTCACATATGTACTAAATTTCATCGAAATCCGTTCAGCCGTTTAAGCTACAAACTCTAACAAACATCCATCTAAACTTTCGCATTTATAATATTAGTATGATTAAGATATTAAAATTAAGATTAATAAGATTGCCTCATGTTTATTGTCTCTAAGTAAAAATTTTAATTTTGCATGCATTTTCACCTGTCTGTGAACATAAAGGTGCTGTTATAATTGTTATACAGGGTGTTGTTTTCTGTAATAAAATATTATAATCGACAAGTTTTACAATATAAATAACGGTTGTACAGTTATTTTTACAAGATAATTGCTCTTATATTCTGGACTGATGCATTTTGTGATTAAACAAAGATTTTTATCTAAAGAAATGTTTGAATATTCTTAAACAAGTTCCCTTAGTTCTAAAGATTTACAAAGTTTGTACACTAATGGCTATTTTCATCAACTACCCAAGTAATAAAGGTTCCTTAAGCTCATTTGAAACTAAACTATCGCACAACTGTTTTGTCTTGCTTGCTATAATGGAAGTTACACTACTCGTCTTTTTGTGCAACTTAACAGTTGAATTGGCTGCGAAACAATCGACAATCGCACAATAGTCATACGACATTTGAGTCAAAGGGGTGTATTTTGCATGAAAACATGGATTACAGCCAACCCTGCTCTTTAAAGAACCCCAGAAGTTATCTATACTTCTATACTATTATAATAAAACGTAAACACACACTTCTTTGTTACCTAAGATGTCAGCACTTACTGCATATTTTTAAATAATTCTTTTTCTAATAAAAATACCTACATTTACGTCACGCTTTTGGCTACATATTTTCACGCCATTAAACTTAGGGGTTAATATTTTGGATAAAAACCCTAATGTGGGAAAGAGACCATAAGTTGCTACCAACATAAAAAGCAAGGTTGTCATCAGGTCATTTTGACTTTTGTAATTGATAATTTGACAAATGTAAACAATAAAATAAAATTTTCATAATGTCACGCGGATGAAGTCGCACGGGAACAGCTAGTATATAATAAACATTATATTAACTACGTTTATTTTTGTTAAATATTACACACCTGAAACTCCAAGCCATGCTTTTCTCTGCAGTAATCTTTTATTCTCGGATAACACTTCGACATCAATGTGTTTCTTTCCATAGCCGTGTCTGAAAGACAAAATTACAAATCAGGATAATCGGGGAAACTGGCAGTAATCCATAAAAGCTACAATAGTTTAAACATGTTAAAACGATTACGACAAACAAAAACCAATACAACGCTTTTAAATGGATTATTCCCAACCATCACCCCGCTCTGTCCCCACGTGACACCAAAAATTCATCCGTCCCACCTTTTAGTCCTACTATCACCAATAAGGTGACAGATGGAACCATTATAAAATGAAATAAGTTCCAACCGTCCCCTCATCGCAAAAGGTGGGACGGATGTGTTTTTATTGTCTGTCTCCACGTACGAACAGAGCGGGGAGACGGTTGGGAATAATGCTTATAAATGTGTCTGTACGAAAATAATCGGTGAGACACGGCTAGGTTCTTTTTATTATTATCCCTTCGTTTGCATTTACTGCTATCTAATAAGTATTTGTAGTTGGTTTGTCTGGTTGCAATGAGCAAGGCATTTTTCCTAAGTATTTCACTGCGGATTTCCGCGACTGTACTTACAGCGACAACCGTTTTACGATAGACGACAAAACGACCTAGCATTACATGTAGGAGACCTAATTTTAAGTGAGCAGTTTAATTTACTTATAACTTTGGTCCGCATAGAATTTAAAAAAAATGTGTATCCTATGTGTTCTTCCAGACTATCCTCTACATCTATACCAAATTTCATTGAAATCCGTTTAGTAGTTTAGGCTACAAACTCTAACAAAAATCCATCTAATCTCTAAAGGCATAGATGTAGATAGTCTGGAAGAACAGATAGGCCAGTTTTGTTTTTAAACTCCACAAGAGTAAAAGCTAGTGTTTCTAAAACAGTATTCTTTGCCAGTTATAAAAATGGTTTAATTAATTCCACTGCAGTGACTTGAATTGTGTTTAATCATAATTACAATAACGGAGTACATAAACCACGGTTGCTGCAGTTGCGTGCAACGTTCACAGGGCGTTCGTAGCTACGGAAATAAATTTCCTGTTAAGTAAAACTTGTTAATGTTAGTTATACTTAATAGTGTTTATTGTTTAAGAAACTTAACTATAGTGTGTCTAAATAATTTAGATTAGTTTGACAATTCACTTCAAATTTAGTAGGGATGGGTTGTGTAAAATCAGTCATGAATCTTATCGATTTTCGATTTTTATTCTTATAGAAGTTGGAATCGATAGATTTATAGTTATAATTTATTTAAAAAAACACTGTTTTCTCAAATTAATAATGACTATAACAGATAATGAGAGTAAATAAATGTTTTTTACTACTACAGCCGTACGTAATCGAATTGGATTTCGCTATTATTTCTGTCTTGGCTAAATTCTCTACACTATAATCAATACTAGAATTGTCCTCTAAATTAGTTAATAAGAAAATAATAATTTTAGTTGAGTTCGATAATTATTTAAACCGAATATCGATAGTTCATAATTGTTCCCTATGCGTGTTTGTTTGGTCACTACGATACTATAGTATGGTTAATCAAAGAGATTCAAAAACTATATAGAGAAGGCATATTAACTATGAAACCTTTTCACATTATATATTTTTTACAGTTTACATTTTATTTAAAAGTTAAGTTTATTTTAAACTAGCTTTTACCCGCGACTCCTTCCGCGTAGAATACAAAAACAAAAATATGTAGCCTAATGTGTTTTTCCAGACTATCCTCTACATCTATACCTAATTTTATTGAAAACCGTTCAGCCGTTTACGCTACAAACTCTAACAAACATCCATCTAAACTTTCGCATTTATAATATTAGTATGAAAAAGATGGAGCTTATTAAAATTGTTTTATTACAAGGACACTAGATGGCACTAAACTTGACAACTAATATAGTACCTTTCAGAGAAAGTACCGGTGAAAAAATGGTCACCGCCTCTTCTGTATATTTTATATGTTCTTGCCATATACATGAAAATAAAAATCAGCTCGTCTTCATTCGGAGCGGTTTGTAGAATTCAATACCGAAGATAGATTACAAGGTAACGATCTTACTGTGGGCGTGTATGTCGGATATAATGAAATAACAATTACGTAACATTAGGAACACTATCCTTAGTTTACCACCATCTTAATTGATAACTTCACAACACACTCGAATTGCAAACATTTACAAAGATTAACTTATTGATTTTATAATAACAAAGCGCATCACCACCATTCACAACTGTCATCAGTCATTCTATCGTCGTCTTGACATCTGTCATGCGATGCACATTCAGCCAGTACTCAAAATTATTAGCTGCCAGTTACTTTAATCGTTCAAAGAGTATCAATCATTTCGCCCCGTTGTATCTTACTTCTTACTAATATTATAAATGCAAAAGTTTAGATGGATGGATGGATGGATGTTAGCGTTTGTAGCCTAAACGGCTGACCGGATCTCCATGAAAATTGGCACAGGTTTAAAGCATATCTGAAAGAACACATAGGCTACTTTTTATCCCGGGAGTAATAACGGTTTCCGTGGGATTCATTAATTTAGTTTTTTAATGTTTACTCGATCATTCTGCAACGGTTCAACATATCTTATTGAAATTTGGCACAGATATAAAACAAAGTCTGGAGTAAACATTAGATAAGGTTCATTTCCGAGAAATGTCCGGTTCCCGAGGGATACGTAGCTTTTTGTTATTTGTATAGTTCGTATGTTTTCTAATACCACGCGGACGAAGTCGCGGGCAACAGCTCGTCTATTAATATCGCAAAGAGCGCTTTCAGTAAAGGCATAAATTAAATTTGGAAACGTTCGCACTATCAGATAGTTGTTAATTAAAAGTTGCCTTGAATCCCCCCTATTACTCCCCTCGTTACCTTCGAACTGGGGGGTGAGGATTACGTAACAACATTAATCAAATATCTCTGCGAGTTTTGAAAGTTAGTTTACGTATGGGAATTGTTACGTTATGTAATACGTTACTAATATTAAAGTTTATTCTCGCTTTATTCCTGACCTTATATGGAGGACATTACTCGATTTTTAGTTGTGCAACTAAACAGTTGACTGCAAAACAATCGACAATCGCACAACAGTTGTGCGATATTTAAGTCAAGTTTTCTTATAGCTTAATAAAACTCTTCTCCCTTTTTTGGAAAGTCGGTTAAAAATAATTAATAGAACACTGTCACTTTAAAACTTAAAAAAAAATAATTATCTTCACCAGTGAATGTAGAGCTGGTGAAAATCCTCACTATCTTCGAGCTGACAGGTGGCAGCAGCTTCAAAGACCCTCCGAAGATCAGGTCTACTGTACGATCGTCCATGATGACTGTAAAAAAAACAATAATTATACACATAAAAAGTACCTTTATTTTTCAGTTAACTAAACAAAGATCACGAAAACGAAAACCACGAAAGTTTAAAATTATATGGAACTAGCTGTTCCCGTGCGGCCTCATCGCATGAAATCATGAAAATTTTATTTTATTGTTTACATTTGTGAAATACATTTGTGAAAAACCAATACCAAATGTCAAAATGACATGACATTACAAACCAATACAACCTTGCATCTTTGATGTTGGCAGCAACTTATGGTCTCTTTCCCACATTAGGATTTTTATCCAAAATATTTACCCCTAAGTTTAATGGCGTGAAAATATACAGCTTAAAGCGTGACGTAAGTGTAGGGCTTTTTATTAAAGAAAGAATTATTCAAAAATATGCTGTAATTGCTGACATCTTAGGCAACAAAGAAGTGTGTGTTTACGCTATATTATAATAGTATAGAAGTATAGATAACATAGGTTATTTAGTTTTTTTTTATTCGATTTCGCGATACATATAAAATTCTAAAATCAAATACTAATATTGTACATATCTAGAATTTAACTTGAATCTGTAGATTACAAAACCAGTGCTTAACCTGCGCTATCTACATTCTAAGACCTAGGAAATGTTAGCTCCAAGCGATAACACAAATATTGCATAGTAATTTGTCTATTTCCCTTGATTGGTGGAAGTTTGTGGCGGTTGGAAATTGACTGGATTTTGCAATACAAACTATTAAATGATTCTAAAATATTCCATAGCATTTTGAGCAAGCAGCCACCAGAAGTCGCCGAAATATTGAAGTAACTAATTCCAATAGACATCCACAATTGCAGATGCGTTGCCTACCAATAATCGAAGGAGGAGGAGACGCACATAAAGACATTTCCCTCTCCGTAATTAGGTCTAGGCTAGTTAAGCCTTCGTCACGCACACTCATCAGACTAAACGAGGAATTGAAGCAATTCACATCTGTTTTTTGTGGTCGTAATATTGCACCATTCATGTAGCAGGTATTGTTGCTGGTTACCACTGTTAAAATGGTAGGTTTTTTAAAGAGACTAGACAAAATTCATATTATAAAAATTAGATAACATTCTTACCAAAAATAAACTAATACAACCTTTACGAGTAATATTTAATAAAACATTATCAGAGTAATGAAATAGATAAGATACCCGAATTACAAAATATGTAACTAAAAGCGCGTGCACTGAATAAACTATCGCACAACTGTTTAGTCTCGCTTTTCTAAGAGCTTATAAGGCGCAGACTACTCGATTTTTAGTTGTGCAACTAAACAGTTGAATTGGCTGCGAAACAATCGACAATCGCACAATACTTGTGCGTTAGTTTAGTCAAAGGTGCACACGCACTTAGGCAACATTAAAAAAAAAACATTCAATCACAGTTTATCCTACATTCGTCTGTAACTTTAGGTAATCAATCGAGTAATTTACTTCAAACCGATCAGTGGCAATAAATTGCATTTGGTTTTTATAAAAACTTCAGTCGCAACGTCGGTTTGGAAGTTTCCTGATGTATAAAATAGTTTTATTGCCAATGAAATCGAACTGGGAAAAATCCACATCAATAACTATTTAATGGCTTTTAATCTTTCAAATTTAAACATAAACCAGACACTTATAAAGGTGGTAACACACTATGTATGAATGTTCGTTCTTCGATTACCAAATTCGTTGTTTTACATCCGTTTACATTTTCCTGGTTAATCTACTGTCACATCAGTCATTTCCTTTTGATCATGTCACTTCAGGCAATCCATCAATCTCCTAGGTCTACCTCTATCTATGTACCTCCACAGTCCACTAAATTGATTAGTTGCATACAAGATTTCTTTTAAAGCATTACAAGGATAATTAATACCACGTATACCAGTAATACCACAACCTCACAGAAAACTGGTGTGAAATGGAAGCAATTCCGTGTTTCGTCTGATGAGTGTGGTGCCGGAGGCCTAATTTAAGTTCCTTTATCTTTTCCACCCTTTTCTCATAAGGAGAGGATGGAAAGGGGAAGTGGATTTGACGGTAGAAGAGATGCATGGAAGGGGAAATATCCCCTTTATGTGCGTCTCCTCCTCCGTCGGATAAGGGTAGGCAACCCATCTGCAATTGCGGATGTCTGTGAGCGGTCGCTTCGCCATTTTGGCGGATTCAGGTGGCCGCTTGCTCGTTTGCCACCTTATGATATAAAAAAAAATAGCCTGAAAAAAAAAATCATCAGAGGGTGTCCCGTGTTTTGTGTTTGATTATCATGCCAGTAACTGTAATATAATTAAAGAAAAACCACACTAACAGAGATTATGTTAATTCATAGTTTTAGTTTTTAAAATTCAGTTATAATTAGTGTATAAGCACCTTTATCCCTGGCACGGTCTCAAACCGGCTTCCGTAAACCGCCGCCAGGGGCGCTGGTGGTTCAACGAACACTACATTTTAACGAGCAACAAATTATTACTGTACTGCGTAGACTAGTTCTAAGGAAACCGTCTATTGTGGCCACAGAGTCCCTTTTAGAAAACGTTTAAGTACAGCTGGGGATAGTAAGCATAAGAAAATAAATAAAGCTTTGTCCATACCCTGTTTTCCGGCAAGGAAAGGATGAGAATGGATAGAAAATCCAACAAACTAAATGAACTAAAATTTATAACATCAATGTTTTTATTATACAATGAAAAATCAGTTACAAATAAAACATAAACACCAAACTAACAAGCATTTTTCTTAACCTAGTTGCAAATGCGTCAAACCAATAGAGTAAGAAAGCTTAATATAAAATACACAAGTGCAAGCAAGACAAAAGTGTTAACATAACTAGACAAAGATTTACCTGGCCCAGTTTACGCCGGACTAAATCAATACAGATGCTTGCGAGTCAAATCGATTAAGTTTTCACTTTTAGAGAATTAAGAAATCGATTTTTTATCGTTAAGCTTCTATGACTGACGGTGAAGGACTGGCAGTTTAGAAAATATTGATAGAATAGCGAAATTGTTATTCTGTTGCTAGGCAACCGATTTGGTGGTAAACCTACGATAACTTTTGTTTTAGTTTATTTTTAAACGTGTAGTGATGTGACTTGAAAGACCACGGTTTGGTCTTTGTGGAAAATTTTACTTGAATTACTTTTTCATGATGTTTGCGTTGTTTTTTTTTTAAGTTTTTGAATTACATCACGCACGTTGTTACAATTTTTTCATTTTTATAGCAAACAATTTCAACATAGTAGACAACTTAATTTATGTAACTACTAGTTTTTAAAATAGTAAGTAGCCATGCGTTTTCTAGACTATACTCTACATCTTTGTCCAATTACGTCGAGGTCATTTACGCTGTTTTGGAGTTACGTAGTAACAATCCATCCTTCCATGGAAATTTTCGTATTTATATTCTTACTATCTTACTTTGTATTGAGTACTAACTTTCGCCCGCGACTCCGTCCGCGTGGGTATTAAACACACGAGTAAGTGGCCTATGTTTTCATCTAGTCTTTGCTAGCTTTGCGGATGGCTACAAAGGAAGAGGAAGACCGAAGAAAGTATGGATGGATTGTGTAAAAGAGGATATGCTTAAGAGAGGAGTAGATTCAGATATAGCTGATAGAGATGTATGGAAGAGCAGCACATACTGTGCCGACCCTTCGTAAGGGATAAGGGCAAGTTGACGATGATGCTCTATCTGTACCAAATTTCATTAAAATCCAGCCGTTTAGGTTGCAAACTAACAAACATCCATCCATTTACTTTCGCATTTATATTAGTAAGATAAGGACATCAATAAGAGAGTACTAATTTATAAGTAAATTTGATGACCTATTTTATATCCGTTGTTTGTTACGAAAAATAACGTTAGTGAGGTCATGTAATCTGTAAATGGTAATAAATAGCTTGAAAAAAAAGTAATCCATTAGCTACAGTGTGCAGGCCGCGCCTTACACTGCGTCTACTGGGCGTAGTCTTTAACCGCTGGCCCAATTTACAAACGGAAGCGATTTCTGATCGGTTGTTATGAGGATAAAATTGATGTAATACATCAGCATTGTAATTTGTAATGTATACACTTCAATTTAAGTCAATTATTTTCTTAGGTAAGGGTGGGAATGGGATATGGATTGCCAGAATAGGGAAATAGTCTGTATTGGATGTACTATAAAAATTAGGGAACGCATAGCGTTATTTTGTTATTAAAAGTATACACGACTAGCTGTTCCCTTGCGATTTCACCCGCATGAAATTATAAAAACTTTATTTTATATTTTACATTTGTCACAATCTCAATTGCAAATGTCAAAATTACCGTTACCATAATAACGTTGCTTCCTTAATGTTGGCAGCAACTTATGGTCTCTTTCCCGCGTTAGTGTTTTTATCCAAAATATTTACCTCCTAAGTTTAATGGCGTGAAAATATATAGCCTAAAGCGTCAGGTAAGTGTAGGGCTTTTTATTAAAAAGGGAATTATTAAAAAATATGCTGTAATTGCTGACATCTTATACAACAAAAAATGTGTGTTTACGCTTCATTATAATAGTATAGATTATTAGTTGGCCACCAAATACATTTACATCTGGCAAAAGAAAGTTACTATTACTTTATTATCTTACAATTTTCATAAAATTATATCCTTTCCGTTAAATGTAAGTGTCACCATCAAACTTTGTTGATGAACATTTTAGGTTTTGAATTAAAATAGGCTATCAAAACATTCGGTTCACTTATCACTTGTACCACACGACAATGTCGGAAACGCTTCTATTTTCGTATCAAGTCCTACCTGTGTTGCTTTTCCACGATTAGACTGGGCCTGGGGGCTATAAAGTGAGTTCCGGCGGACGATTCCCGCTTCACTTTAGTTACTGCCCACTAAAGCGCTCTGTTAATGCTCAGATATATGTCGCATAAGTACATTGTTGCAAGCATTCTAATTTAAGTACAAATACAAATGTATTAGTAAAAGTCAAATTACAAGTCATACATGTAAAATCTATGCTATTATAATAAAGCGTAAACACACACTTCTT